TCCCAGGCCATACAGGATGTGAATGCTGTGGTCCCCGCACAAGCAGGTTTAAGTAACCTCAGTGGCTGCACCTCATCGATGCATTCTAGATTTGTGGGAATGATTAATACACATTCCTGTTGCTCTTAAAAAGATCAGAAAGAGTCATGGGGGTAGGGTGCTGAGGAGAAAGACTAAGAGACACTATGGGAGGGCAAGCATTTGATTCCCCTGGGAGGAAGGGAGTCTGGCTTTTTAGAAAAAGTTCCGATGGATCACCGAGGGAAGACCATTTTATCAAAGTCGGAAAATCAGATCGCAGGGCACAGGCCGGAAAACCAAAAGATGGTGTGTTCGTGCTACTGACACGCCTTGTGATTGTGCGGCATTTGCTTTTTCCCTAAAGGAGCTACCGACCATAAGTCGTTTTGCCTGTCAATCAGTGGTCTCTGAGGAGAGGAAAGAAACGGGCCTTCCCGGTTTACGCAGCATCCGGGAGCAGCACGCTGTCGCGGGGGAGTAAGTGAAGATCGTCATTCACTGCGGGGAGCGGGAGCTGCAAACTTTCTCAGGAAAGGGCCAGACAGGAAGTATACCGGCCTCTGGGGCCACATGACTTTCTGCCACAGCTGCTCAACTCAGCCCCTGTAGGCAATTCATAAGTGTCCTGGATCCCAAGGAAATTTTCTCTATAGAAACAGGGCAGAGGGCAGTCTGTCGACCTGTGACACAAGGAAACAAACTCTTTTTTTGGGTCCACCAGTGAGAATCTATCGTGCAAATTCCATTGCTGCCTGAAATGACCTTTTCCCCATCTGACAGCTCTCTAGACCGCTGGTGCTCTTCCCACCACATCCCACACAGGTGGCGCTTCCTGCCTTGCTGGTGCCGCGTCTCCAGCACTCGAACTGCGCCTGGGACACATCTGCTCCATGAATGAGAAATGAACACAAGAAAGACAGGAGGCGAAGCAGGGGATAAGGGAACAGGAGAAAAAGCTCTCTTGAGCTTGTAGCACATGCTGTCATGGTGAACGCACGTGGCAGGGGACCGTCTCCGCCTGCAGTTCCCACCCAAGGCAGAAGTGGAAATGGTGCATGTCCCAGGCGCGGACTGCTGTGCAAACAGGAGCAAAGAGGCGCCGGGACAAGGCTCCTGACACTGCACAGCCCCCTACCGGGGCCTGCTAGGAATACTTTCTTAATCAAATCCTCTTGAAACAGGATTGGAGGGTGAAACAGGCCCTCCCCGTCTTTTGACTTTGTGGCTGGGGATGAAAATACCACAGAGGGCACAGGCTTCCAAGACCTCCCGGGACAGCGTGAGGGCACTCGGGGCAGGGAAGGCCTCCGGGACCCAGGCGGCCTTGGACGCGGTGACTGGACGGGAGCAGTGGAGGGAGGTGCCATCCATCAGGCTCCAGGGTCAGACACCTCTGGGGACAGCAGCTGCGAGGCAGATCAGCCCCTCCACCCTGGGCAGGGAGACGAGAGAGTCCCCAGAAGGGGGCACAGGGGGGGCCTTCATGTGACGCCGTTCTGCTGTCCTCATCTCACAGTTAGGGAGCAAAACTCCAGGTGACTTTCAGAAAAGCAAAGCCCGATCATTCACAGAGAGCATATCAATTGGGGTTTCCGTGGCGGCGATTTAGTCTGCAGGCAGGGATCCATTTTTTAAAAAATGTCTATTATTTCCTATCAGTTGAGACAATCGAGCAAGGACTCCATGGTCTGAGACCACCCCCACAGATTGCTAGACCACGCCTTTGCGATCAGTCCACGTGCGCGCACTGAACACCAGGATCCCGCCTGGTCAGAGACGCCGGGGCGCTGTCCTTGAGCGACCTGTGTCTCTGACGACAAACTGCTGCCTGGCTGAAGCCATGCCTGCTCCTGCCTCCGTTTGGTCTCACTACACTTCTATGTCACTTTCACTTTGTTTGCTCCTTAACAGGCATCTTTTAAATCTAAGTAAACGACGACAGCCGTCTGTTTCTGGCTGCTGGGGCTCCTGGTGGCAGTGGCCTCGGAGCACCCAGCAGGCACCGCTGGCGCTAGGCCCACAGCCTGGCATGTTGCCAAGCACAGCCACGAGCGAGTCAATGAGCAGACCCGGCAGGTTGTGCTGAGGCCATCCGGCAAAATTCAGCCAAGGCGATGACATCCTATTTCATTTTCTGCCTGGGTAGCACTGCCTGGGGCACGTGGTAGTGGAAGCAATGTACCTGGAGACCGGTGGGTCTTGATCCTTCATGACATCCAAGACTGTGACAGAAAACCCACCATGCTGAGCCTCCGCTCAGGCCCGTGACTCTACCAGCTGTGGCATGCTGCAGACAGGAAGGGCGTGGCAAGGATTCTGGGTTCTTGCATCTGCCCTGGCTCTGAGAAACAACGACTGACAGGTAGGGCGGAGGCGCAGCAGCAGCGTCAGGTTGTGGTCAGGCATGAAGGAAGCCGGAGGTCACAGAGAGGCATGTCGGGGCCACAAACACAAGCCACTCCATTCAAAAGCAAGGCCTGCCAACGGCCAGGGCTTTACTCCTGTGTCAACTCATCATCTCTGATACATGTGACAAATGTGATGACACCATCTTGGGTGGGTTCTCACCAAAGTCTACTGTTCCAGCCCCATGAAGAATGGAGTCTGGAAGTCATTCAACCCACACTGCTTATTTCTGAAGGACTGTCTCTTTAGCAAAATTTTGAAACTACCATTCCCAGTCTACTTGTGATTTTACAGACTCAAACTATACGTGTAATATAGTGGATCCTATATTTCGTGCTGATCGTGCCTGTTTGTTGGTTGGTTTTCTGCATGAGCCTCACTAACCACCGAAACCTCTCATGGGCCACACGAGATACACTCGTAAAGAGCTGCCGCTTACTCGGCCTATGAGTCCTAAATTTTCAACCTTTAAAAAAATGCTTTCTAAAGGGTTTAAAAGTGTTAAAGATTTTAAAAGAAAGGCGTAAGCATCCTTTGCACATTGCCTTCTCTTCCCTCTGTCCATCACCTCTGGGGTATCCATGCTCCTGGCCTTAAGCACAGAGGGCGAATTTCTAGGAGAAGCAAATGAGCAAATCATTGGATCCAGCAAATCCAACTCTGCATTCTCCATGTGTGTGAGCCATTCACTTTTGTGAATTATCTGTGGCCATGCTGCCACTTCAGAACTATGGGATCATAAAATTTAGAAGTGGAGGAAAGTGCAGTGGTTCCTGGCCCCAACCCTCCCTGTTTGGTGGACACTGAGGCCTTGGGACAGAGCGCCTTGTCCGGGATCCTGCAGCCAAGCACCAGCCAGGCCGTGCTTAAAGCTAGCCCCACCATTCGCCCAGCGAGGCTCACACCCGACTCCTGATTTGAGGCCCCACTACCCAGGATCAGCTCACACCCACTCCTGACTGGAGGAACCATCACGCCTCCTGGGGTTCCAGCTTGTCAGCATCTACTCTGGTACTCAGCAAACATTCACCTGGAGTATGACTAGCTCTTGCAAATATTTAGAAAAGTCCTTAAAAGAGGGAGCTGCAGTCACGGGAGACTTTGCAGCTGCTGGAAGGGGTGGGAGTGTTCGAGAAATCTGGCACAGTGTGTTTCCTTGCTCCCAGAAACCCTCTCTGACCTTCCAGTTAGACATGTCCTGAATACCGACCTCTGAAGAACATATCTGTGGTGGAAAATCTTTTGCCGCAACCCTGGGTGTGTTTTGCACTCCAGGGTTAAATATGAATGTCAGAAGATTATGTACACAACACCTACTACTATTAGGGTAACAGCAGGATCCAAAAAATGAAGATCAGATTCTGATTAACGATACCATCTTTCACTGTTAATTTAACTGGATGATAGGCTTTAAATTTCTGTTTTAACCAAAATTAAAAGTGGCTTCTCATACTGTCAATATTTTCAATTTCTCAGATTGCTAGTTAAATAACGTAGCTAAATATTAAACTATCAAACATCAAAAAGCATCAAAAAAGTTCTGATTTAGGAAAGTTCTTCCAGTGAATATTTTTGGAGCACCTAATGTTTCCGTAACATGGTGCAGAACTCACATACTTGACACACTGGGTTTTCTACCGCATCCATTCACAGTATATTTGCGCTACACAAGATAAAATCTAATTAGGGACGGAACCCAAACATACTGAGAAATAAGTCACGGTACAAGTTTCTAACATCTAGATGATGCGAGCGCTTCTTTCCTACGTTAGTGTTGATGCTGAGCGCCGAACATGAATGGCAGCCAACTCACTCCTGCCGCTGGTGCTGATCAAACGGACCTTCCCGTGCCTATTTTCGCAACCGTGAATGGTGCTGAACGCTCCTCTCTCCTCATCCTGGTAGGACCGATGTGACATCCCCATAACCACGACCCTCCCAAGGGCTCTGCTGCCGTGGAGCAGGCTGGCCACCTACGACCAAGGGCACCGTTGATGATGCTGACCTTGGCAACAGCTCCCCGGGAAACCCGATGCCCAGGCTGCAGGACACCTGGCCATCACAGACTTGAGAGCCCTTTCATGTGCCACCAAGCTGCTCAAAGGCTCAGAAAACCAGTGTCTTTTCAAGTGCAGTATTCCGAAGGGCAGAAAGTAATGAGGACATAAAAACCACACACCACAGGGTACTGGCCAGGCTATGACAATCACACCTTATCCAACACTTACTCTGTCCCATCCCAAATTAAATCTGAGACTGACACAAGCACATGAAAATCTGAGCAACCTGCAAGGACAAGGCAGTACCAGGTAGTACCACTCTATGCACCTCTTGGCGAGTTCCCTTTCTCAGAAATCACAACGAAACTGCAGAGGGTGAGAAATGTTTTTCTAACAAATGAATCTAGACCATCCAAAGTAATCCATTCTAGCATATAAAAGAGAAATAAACTCATCTCGGAAGGTTAGGTCTTGTTTTTATTTTCCTACTAAGCATCAACTGTTAGGATGTCCAGGTCCCCGTCTCCTGCTTAAATAGAACGGCTGCTTATGTTAACTGACATGACCCAGTACCTCCGGATAGCCACTGTGAGGGCCTCTGGTGAGCTGGCACAAGGACAGATGACCTCCTGTCGAAGGCCTTTGCTTTGGAAGACGTTGAGAAATGCATCGCAGGAAGAAATAGACCCTGGAGTCAAAGAGGGACCATGGTCAGATAGCTTAGGTACTGAGGGATGTAAAAATACCCTGTAACATAAATTGTTTTGAAATTAGGATTTAGGCACAAATGGGGTTAGATGGCATGAAAAAATACTTCCTTCAATACAGTGCTTTTGGTTACACTGAAAGACGATATTCTCAAACAGATCTCAAGAATTGAGAAAATGCAACTTCCACACTTAAAACACTTTTGCTGACTGATGAACTTACTCTGGTAACTTTTCTGAGACTTGTGCCATCATTTTCAGTACACAAGTTCCAAAAGATGGGTAAATCTCACCTTAACCAAATGAAGAAAACTTTCCTCATATTAACTTGAATAATGAAATCAGAGTAGAATTACTAGGGATATATCAGCAAAACTATTTTCACATACAGATTTACCTTGCTTTACACAAGATGCATTGTTCTGTAGAGTTATAACTATTTATTAATTTAGCTCCTGATTTATGGAATTTTATAAATAAAATTTGTTTATAAAAACATCTGTTTATGAGTCCACTTTTGTATATCAGGGATTAAGGAAGTTTATGCTGCTTTAGTTTACAAATATATATATATTGCACATGTAATAAGTATGGTCAGAAACACTCATTCAATTCACTTTGCTTCTGACTTTACATACTCTTCTCACAAAAAGAAGCCAGCTAGGGTTTTTTTCAGTTGACTGAAATATTTATCAAGATGTATCAACAGTATTCTGTAGAACTGTTTATTTACTTTATCTGGGTATATTTTGTTATAGGGTGTGATAATTGTATTCCATTAAAAATTACCAACTAATTTACTGATCAATAAAACTACTATAAACCATAAGATAACAGCAGTTAATAGTTGGGTACTTATTATATGCCAAATGACTACACTTAGGAATCACTTCATTTAATCCTCAAACAGTTTTGTGATTTAGGTACCACTGTACAGCTGAAGAAACAGGATTAGAAAAAGAACTTTCTCTACGAAACTAGGACACTTCTATTCCCAGGGCTGTGTGTCTGCAAATGCCTTGTTCTTGACCGTGATGCCACCGTGTCTTTAGGCTACAATGAGTAACGCAGTGTGGTTATTTTAAGACAGCTTCTTCACTAAGACAAAGATTAGGAAAACAACACCACAGCAAAGAACGGAACCTGGAAAACAAGGGCCTCTGTGGACCGCCTGCCTTTCGGGGTAACAAGGGGCTCTGACTTACAAGGGTTGGCGCCATCGGCCACTATCAACATCCGGAGAGAGGAGAGGTTGATGTCTCTTTGATCTCTGTGCGCGACTAACGCCCAGTGCATATCCCTTGATTTCACACAAGCCACTTTTGCTAAAAAGAAAAGCAGAAGTAGATTAGAATGTGCCACCACCAGACTGTCCCATGTTGAAAAGAGAGGTCACTGCAGCTAGCGGGAAATGGCGAACAATCCCCTATTTGTCACCAGAACGTGCGTGCACGCAGTGGAGACCTCTGTACCTTTGTACTGGCAGACCTTCTGGATCCAGGAGAGGGGGTTCACCTTCATCAGCGAGTACGGGATGCTGATCACGTGCATCATGTTCATGACGCTCTGAAATCAACGAAGAAGCACACGCGGTCACACGGGGCAGATCGACAGAGGCAGAGGAGCCCGTCGAGCCACACGTGCAGGCAGCGGCAGCGACCCCAGGCTCCCGTGGCGCTGGAGGCACGGGGCACAGGGGCAGCTGAGCCGCATGGGCTCCGCGCTGCCAGGTCTCGGTGTGGTCCTGGAAAAGAATGCCAGCAGCAGCGTGGCTTCCCGGAGGCTGCCTTGTCCCCCCTCTCCGCTTCTGACAGAATCAAAGGATTCGTTCAAATCCTTCTTTAAACTAAACCTTTGGCGAACAATCATCTTTTCATGGGCTTCCATATTCTTGAAGCGTAATTCTTCCCAGCATAGTATACTAATTTTTATCTCACAAAATCGATTTTGCTGATGGAACGCCACCCAGAAACGTGAGGGGCAAAGGGAAGCTTGTCTGAAACCGCACCGACTCCCAGCCAGCCCTGCAGACGGAGGCCGGGACTCCTGAAGGGCCTGTTTCTTTAAAACGGAAGACCAAAATGAACTCAAAAACATGGGCCGGGCTCGGTGGCTCAGCCTGTCATCCCAGCACTTTGGGAGGCCGGGGCGACTGGAGTGCCTGAGCCAGTGGGATCGAGACCAGCCTGGGCAACTTGGTGAGGCCTCCTCTCTACAATAAGTAAAAAAAAATCAGCCGGGCATGGTAGCTCCGCCTACTTGGAAGGCTGAGGCAGAAGGATCGCCGGAGCCCAGCAGGTCGACGCTGGGGTGGCTGTGAGTGTGCCACGGCGCTCCAGCCTGGGTGACAGAGTGAGATCCAACTCAAAAAACCCCCAAAACCCCAAAAGACTGGTTGGTATCCCCATGCTGTGGCTAGCACTCAACCCCCACTCTGGCGTCATGCGGCACACGTCAGCCTCCTCCTGTAGCAAAGCCACAGGGACCACTGGACCACGCCCCCCAGCTGGCTCTGTGGCATGTTGGGGTTCCCACAGGCTACTGTGGAGGGGGTGGAATGGGAGGCACAGACCTCTCTGGAGAGCCGTGAGCTCACCTCGGAGCACTCCGGACAGAAGTGAAAAGACAGTGTGCACCTGCCCGCCTGGGTGCGTCCCTGCGGCAGCCTTCCCAGTACGTGCTGGGGGAGGTGTGGGCACCTCTCAGGCTGGTGCTTTCTGGTCAGAGACCTGACCTGCCTCAGACATAACAGCCATCGAGAGACTTAGAACTGCCAGTGACCGCCGTGCTGTGGTGCAGCGGGAGCCAGCAGGGGACAACATCAAGAAGGAGCTGTTGAGGCTGGGCTCGGTGGCTCAGCCCGTAATCCCGCACTTTGGGAGGCGGAGGTGAGTGGATTGCCTGAGCCAGCGGGTTCGTGACCCACCTGAGCCACTTGGCGAGACCTCATCTCTATAATAAGTCAAAAATCAGCCGGGTATGGTAGTGCGCGCCTGTAGTTCCAGCTACTTGGAAGGAGGAAGTGGAAGGATCGCCGGAGCGCAGCAGGTGGAGGCTGCGGTGGAGCGGTCACTGCACTCCA